TACTTATCGCAAAACTATGCAGTTTTTTTCACAGAATTATAATTCTGTTTTAAACCCACAAAAATAAAACTCCCTCACATTTCCGCCATATATAAAAAAAAACCTTTACATTTCTATCGAATTGACAATAATTATTATTTAAATTACATGAAATAGTTGGAAATTTTGTTTACGTTTTCAATTCGAGTGAACAAAAAGAGAAAAATATCTCCAACTACAACAATTCACTTAGTTTTATGATCGAATAATTGTTATTCGTGTCAAATGACAAAATAAACAATTAAACCGTTCAAATGACTGGAAAATAATCGTCTGCAATGGAAAGAGGAAAAACTGAAAGTGGAATCCGAATCGTCATCATTTGACATTTAATTAAGGATTAGCCGAGTGTCATGTGATTGAATTAGTGTTTTGAATATTGATTGTGTGTGTGAAATATAAGTTGGGAAAAAAAACAATATAATATTGGGTTTGTTATTTCCATATATGTAAACTGGTCTTATTTGGTGTAATGGCGATGATGTTAAAAATGGTAAAATATGCCATTGTTAACCTCTTTACTATTTTTATAAAACCATATTTTTTACACCCATTGTAAAGATATTTCCTTGTACCTATGGGGTGAAATATCAGTCGTCCTCTCCTCCTTAAGACTTTTCCCATATGCTTGCATTGTTATACCCTCCACCATAGTATGGAGAATATATTAAGTTTGTCATTCCGTTTGTAACACCTCGAAATATCCATTTTTAGACCCCACAAAGTGTAAATATTCTTGATCAGCATAAAATTCTATGTCGATTTAGCGATGTCCGTCCGTCCGTCCCTCTATCCGTCTGTGGAAATCACTCTAGCTTCCGAACGAATTGAAGTAGATTGATAAAATTTTACTCAAATGTGTATTATGTCTGCAGGACTTTTGGTATTGAAAATGGGTGATGTAGGTCCACGTTTTGGTATAGCCCCCATATAATGGTACCTTTTTTCGGTATTTTGGTGATTTAACCGACATTATTCACAGCAAATGTTTCAAATTTGTTTTTGAAGTTCGTAATGGATACTACATCCTATGACAGAACATTGTTTGTGTAGGTCCACGTCTTCGTACATCCCCCATGTAATGGTACCCCCGATATTCTGTACTTTGTTGATTTTAGCGACATTATTCACCGCAATTCTTTCAAATTTGGCATTTGAAGTTCGTAATAGAACTACAGCCTAACACAGGAAATGAGCCATGTAGGTTCATGTCTTCACATAGCCCCCATATAGCGGTATCTCCTGATATTCGGTATTTTGATGATTTTAGCGCCATTATTTACCGGAATTGTTTGAAATTTGGCATTTAAAGTTCGCAATGAATATAACAGACTAAAACAGAAAATGAACCATGTAGGTCCAGGTCTTCGTATAGCCCCCATGTAGCGGTACCTCCCGATATTCAGTATTGTGATGATTTTAGCGACGTTATTTACCGGAATTATTTCAAATCTCGCATTTGAAGTTCGTAACGGATACTACATCTTATGACAGAAAATTGTTTGTGTAGGCCCACGCCTTCGTATAGCCCCCATATAACAGTACCTCCTGATACTCGGCAGTTTGATGATCTTAGCGACATTATTTACCAGAATTTTTTTTTTTCAAATTTAGTATTTGAAGTTCGTAATGGATACTACAGCCTACCACAGAAAATTGTCTGTGCAGGTCCACGTCTTCGTATAAACCCCATATAACGGTACCTCCCGATTTTCGGTATTTTGATTTTATCGACAATATAACCGATTTTTTTAAGCTTCCCATTTGAATATTGTAATAGCTTATGGCACATGTTACCTGCGCAGGTTCATTTCGTCTTATAGACCTTAATATAATAGCCACATTCGGCATTTTTAAGGTTTTAACAGAGTTTTTAACGGATTTTATTTATTTATTTATTTATTTATTTTTTTTTTTTAAAAGTGCCAAATTTGTTCCAAATCGTGAAGGGTATTGAAAGTTCGGCCCTTTACGGCTTTTTACTTGTTTTTTTTTTGTATTCTTTGTACAAATTTTTGGTTGTAGTATCTAAGCAACTGCTTTTCTATTTAATTCGAATGCAAATATTGTTATATTTTAAGTTCGTTAACCCTGTTGTGATTTGAAACTATTTCGATATGGGTGGTTGTCGTGACATGTCTGTCAATCATTGATGTGTGTCACAAGAAAGGTGGAAGTATATGTGATTCTTCTAACTTTTTTGCGATATTATCACATACGTCAAAGTTGTTGTTATTCATAACAACATAACATAATAAATATAGACATATTTTGAAAACCACCTTCAAATATCGAACTTACCTTAAACCCTTGATTCTTGTAAAGTAAAATAGTATCAGTCGGTTTTGCCGAAAGATGAATACCCCCAGTCATGAATTATGATTATTCTAACTGTTGACCTCTACGGAGGGGGAGGGGGGTGTTGTTCCGAAGCAGTTGGCCAATATTGATCAATTCTTATTAGACCTAAGACAGATAAATTTGGATTATATAAATAAATAAATAAATAAATAAATATATATATATATATATATATATATATATATATATATATATATATATATATATATATATATATATATATATATATATATATATATATATATATATATATATATATATATATTATAAATAATTTGGATTATATCGACGCTTCCTATACTTTATATGAGGTATGTGAAAATTTTTGAAAAATGTGGAAATATGCGTTAGGTACTTCAACTAATACAGATAAAAATATTGGTATGTGCAAAATTTTAAGAAAATCGAACATTTATATCCAATTTTATGTGGAATTTTTAATTTCAATAAAAATATATTCATATCAGATTTCTGGTTAAGAGAAATATTTAAATATAGCAAGTTGTAAAGAATCGCAAGTTATGACAGATATAAGTATTGGAAATTGTGACCCTTTGTGGGTAAAGGTACCAGAAGGGGTTCACAGATATACATCATCTTCATAACAGATTTTGCGTTAGCAAAAATATTTGGATATGCGAAATTTGAAGATTTCGGATTTTATTATCGTTTTCGTTATTTAAAACTTTGACCCTTTGTGGGGGAGGTACCAGAGGGAATGGTCTGACCTCTACTATCTTTATAACAGATCTTGTGTTGATAGAAACATTCAGATTTGGCAAGTCTGAATAGAATCGAATGTTAATTTCGAGTTTTATGAGCTTCGTGAATATTCAAAATTTTTTTCCCTTCGTGGGGAAGGAGTTGACCGATATATTCCATCTTCACACCCGTCCTCGGGTTATTAAAAATTTTGCGATGTGTGTAATTTGAAGACAATCGGACACTTACATCACATTTTTTAGCACTGATGAAAATATTAGGATTTGCAAAGTTGGAGTAGAATCAGATTATCCTTTCTTTTTGTGTGTAGTCCGCCATAGGGCGGATTAAATCCGTTTTAGGAGATCTGATGTAGATTTTCATACCATCCTCAAAGTCGATTTAGCCCTGTTGTAATACCTTTTTTTGGCTGCAGGACGATATTATCCACATTTTCTAACGGAATCGTTTTAAACTCGCCATTTAGAGTTTATCATCGATTTCACCTCCTTTGGCAGAATATTGTCTATTTAGCCTCATTTGCCAAAGTAAAGGGGTTAAAGTCACATTTGTAATGGGTTCTACCTATCGTGGCTGAATATGACCTATATATGTCTATGTTTTTTCATAGCCTTTCTTATACCTTTGTACCTCCTTATATTCGACATTTTAATGATTTTAGCAACAGTTTTTATTGCAATAATTTAAAATCTATTTTTTTCGAGTTCATAATGGATTCTATTTTCTGTAGCAGAACATGGTCTAGATAGGTCAATGTTTTGTCAATGGTTCCATATTTTGACAATGATTTCGATATTTTGACGTTTTTACCCATAGTTTCCAGTGGAATGGATTGGCAGAATATTAGTCAATATACCCTCCATACTACGTATGGTGCAGGATATAAAAAAGAAGAAAAAGAAAGAACTTGACCCCACACCATACTTTTGGAAATGTTCCGAAGGGTAATATTCCTCGAATTTTTATCTGCAATATAGCTGAGGACAAAATTTAAGATTCCAAGGATTCTCATCGGAAAATTTCCAAAAGTGTGGAAGATGGGGGAACTTGCCCACTATTTTGGTTACTTTTCGATGTAAACTTTCAAAATATCGATATGTTCACGGATAAGTGAACATGTTTTTATAATAAAAGAGAATAGCGGGGCTAACTAGTGTAGATGATAGGGATTTGTTAAACAGGGATCTTTTTAATACAGTCCATATTATATAAGATAAGAAAATGTGGTGAATAGACATTTGAGTTAGAAATAAATAATTCAATTGCTGCATGTGGTATGTTTGAGTTAGATTACTGGATGAAATCTTAACTCATACTGATAAGGAAGTGCAGCATGTTTGCTTGCCACAAGTGAGATAGCTACGCATGTTTTATGACCTCCCCTAGAATTTATGGCGGCATGGTGCACAGGCATGTGTAGATTTGTATCTCTCTATTTCTCTCTCTCTTTCTCTTACACTTTATGCTAGACTAGGTTAAGAAAAATTATCATAAGTAGAACTTAAGAATTATTTTAAATGAATAAAAACAGTGTAGTAACAAAAGTAAAACGGTGCATACAATTTCTTCCGCGAACACGATATACCTATCTTCTAGTGTTATCTCCACTTTCATAGTCTGCTGGATTTTCTCCGTAATTATTGAACAATTTGAATTTTGTAGCCCACTGTTATTGTTATATTCAACGTTTTAAATGTTAATAATGGTGAAGATAATAAAACGGCCCATTTAGACCCAGAGTAATTTTCTTTCTAATAGAATTTCTAATTTCAGCAAACCTATATGCCTATGTAATTATCAATACAAATAATTTATTGTAAATTACCTTTAATTAAAAATGTAAAAACTAAGAAAATATTTATTTATTTTGTACTTACTTGCAATTAAATCAATTAAAGGCTAATCCAGTTGTTTAACGCCAGTCGCAGAGAGCTGGAAATAAAAAGGAACATTTTTTCCATTACAAAAAAACGTGTACCAGAAAAAAAGTGTTTATAAAAAAAGTATTTTTAAATATTATTTAGCTCTGACATAATTGTATTGCACGTGTTATATATATGGAATAATGTGGTTTATTAAAAAAAAAAAATAATAAAACATTTCCATATTTTGTAGCAGAAAAAAACTTCTTCCAGACTCAATTAATTAATTGGCTTGATACATTGTTTCACACACAATGTTAATTAATGCCTGTATAGTTAATAAATGCTAATTTATCTGTTAAGAATATAAGGTAAATATAAATAAATTATCGGGGTATTTGTTAAACAGTTAAGGTGATGGTTGAATTTGTAAAAAAAAAAAACTACTAAGAGTAACATTGTTATTCGGAGATGTTGATGTTTGTTATTTTTAAAATTTATTTCCTACTTTTCCCTGATTGATATTTTGAAGTTATTGAGTGAGTCATGAGGGGAAATTAGGGAACAAAAATAAGAGTAAGAGAGAGAGAGAGAGAGAAAGAGATTAGTATATGACATGTGCGACCCTACGATTTTTATACCCTACACCATAAGGTGGTCAGGATATTATGTGTTTGTGCATTTGTTTGTAACAGGCAAAGGGAAACGAGATAGACCCATAGTTCCTTTTGATGATCTGCATAGAATCACATTCTGAGCCGATTTATGTATGTCCGTCCGTCTGTCCATGTATTTTTGTGAATAAAGTACAGTTCGCATTTATAGCCATATCCAGATGAAATTTTGCACAAATCATTTGTTTGGCCCAAGGACGAACTCTATTCAAATTGGATATAATCGGTCAAAATTTAGATATAGCTCCCACATATATCTTCGTCCGATTTGCCTTTTATTGTGCATCAAATGTGTAATATAAGCCCGAATGGTATGATATTTTGCACATACAACCCAATTAGACCTGAAAATAAGTATGCCAAATTTGATCGAAATTGGTTTAGATATAGCTATAGCTCCCATATATATTGTTCATCCGATTTGTTATTTTTGTCCTCCGCAGACGTAATATGCACTCTGTAACAACAATATTTGGAGAAATATATCAAATACAGCTCAGAAATACGTTTGCTAAATTTTATCGAGATCGGTTCAGATTTGAATATAGCTCCCACATATATAACTTCGTCCGATTTACCTTTTATTGTGCATCAAATGTCTAATATTTGTCCAAATGGGATAGAATTTGGCACATACGACCGAATTGTGTCCAGAAGCTAGTATGTCAAATTTGGTGAAGATCGGTTCAGATATAGCTATAGCTCCCATATATATTTTTCATACGATATGTTGTATTTACTACCCACACCCGTAATATGCATAAGTATGCCAAATTTGATCCAAATCGGTTCACATATAACTATAGCTTCCATATATATTGTTCATCCGATTTGTTATTTTTGTCCTCCGCAGCCATAATATTCACTCTGTAACAACAATATTTGGGGAAATATTTCAAATACAGCTCAGAAATATTTCTGCTAATTTTTATCGAGATCGGTTCGGATTTGGATATATCTCCCATACATAACTTCGTCCGATTTACCTTTTATTGTGCACCAAATGGGATGAAATTTGCCTCTTACGACCGAATTGAGTCTGGAAGCAAGTATGTCAAATTTGGTGAGGATCGGTCCAGATATAGCTATAGCTCCCATATATACTGTTCATCCGATTTGTTGTATTTGCTACCCACTGCTGTATTATGCACTATGTAACAACGATATTCAGGGCAATATATCAAATACAGCTCAGAAGTATCTTTGCCATATTTTATCGAGATCGGTTCAAATTTGGATATAGCTCCCATACATATCTTTATCTGATTTCAAATTAATTGTACACCAAATGGGCAATACACCTCCGAATTTAAAAGATACAAGTGTTTCGGCATGTTTAGCCCTTTGAACTTTAAATTATTATTATAATCATAGCGTGTATGATTGAATTCTCCCATAAAAACATTTAATTGTTATGTGGAGATCTACTAAATTAGCAAAGTTGTGTATGGTATCATAAAGTTGGCACCGCCCGACTTTAAGACTTTCTTTACTGGTTTAAAATACTTTTGAATTTTTATAATCATACCACAAATATTTTCTCTAACCATCATTAATTAAAAAAAATTAAATTCCTTTTCAATTACAAACGCCCTGCAATTAAGGGTATACCAGATTCGGAAGGTGCCAAATTTTTAACCAAATTCATTGCATTTTCATTGCCAATGTCATGCGGATCTTTGTTGGCTACAGTTCTCATTGAACAATCACTACGGTATGACTTAATTGAAATTCTATTTCAAGATTTGTTATTTTTTGTTTTAATTTCGAATTCATTTAAATGTTGCGGTGACGCTAAAATTATAAATAAAAATCGTTTATACATGTATATATTTAATTCAACAGTTTTATGTTTGTTGTTGTTGTCGTTTTTTTGCAAGAAATTGTGATTTAGTCACATGCCAGTAATTGTTGGATTTCGTTCAAATTTAACATGTTGCCAGAGCTGTTTTATTTAATTTTTTACAAAAAAAAAAAAAAAAAAAACAATTTATCATAAAAATGAGCATTAATCTGAAAATTGCTTAATACCATTTTCAAATTTGAAAATGCAAATTAACTTTTTTAGATATGCTGTGGCTTGAAATCTTTCTCGCCGTAGTTTGAAGGATCCAAATCGACGAAAGTGTAATACATGACCAAGCAAATTAAGATAGCAAACAAAATTGGGAGAACATAAAGTGCGACTCTCTGTCCGGCCATGATGCAAATGAGAGAGTTGGTTAATAATTTAGAATTGTATAAAAGTAATGATAATAGAACAGTGTTGGCTTGTTTGTTCGGGATACCATAGTATTTTGTAGTGGTAAAATTGGTCAGGCTTAATCCCTTTAATGTTGTTTTTATAAAAACAACGTTTGTTTATTAGTGGAGAACGATGGTAATGTTTACCAGGGGGTAAGGCAGGTAATACCTAGATTTCGGAAAGAGCCACCAATCCTCATCAGTTGCCTTGTTTTTTGTCTGGGATATTCTCCCCAGAAGTTATTTTAAAAATAACTTCTATGAAAAAAAATTTACCCAAGTGACGAGATCGTAAACTCAATAGAAGAGGAACCAAAGAATTAAATAAAACTAAAATTCTTTTGGAAAATTCTTCTAAATTTTAAAACATTTTCATCTCTCTCCACTTGTAATGATAATTAAAAATGTTTCCCCCTTGCGAAAACTTGTTTTCATATAATTGGGATATGCAAGTCTTGAAAAGGCTTGGACACCAATTCCATATTTCCTTTCTAAATTGTGACTACTTTGGAAGGGAAGAAACAGCGAGTCATTATTTTCCATATTCACTCCTAACCTAAGTTTGAAAATAAAATACTTTTTGTGGGGGAGGTACATGAAAAAGTGCACCAAGTGGCGTGAGTATATTACATTTTCCTACATGCCTTAATATCGACAAAAATATTAGGTTGTGAGAAAATTAAGATCTTATCTAAATATTAGAATGTGCCAAGTTTAGACACCCTCAATATGAGATTTTTATATTTTTCAAACTTTTTTGGGGAAGGTACAAGAGGAAATGAACCGATATAGCCCATCTTGGAACTCGATTTAAGTTTGATAAAAATATTTCTATGCATCATTGTTAGCACAAGTCGGACAGACAGAGTAAGAGACAAAAATGGCTAGATCGACTCCAAATGACGTAAACATTTATTTCGATTGGGAACATTTTTGGGTATTAAGTGATATCTACCATCTGGCGTATTGAATAGTATATGACAAAAAAGATACTAGACTGAACATTTACGATAACCAAATAAGGTACCTACTGATTTTTAGGGTTTTAAAAACCAAATATGCTTTAATTAGGCATTTTTGGTTTGGCAGGGAAAGACAATTTAAGAAACTAAAATCCAAAACCAATCGAAGGTACCTTTATATGGGTTCTCCGCGTATCTGAATACATTTTCTTTGAAGGGTCACCAAAACTTAAAACTAGTGTCAAATTACTTTGGAAATATGTTTTAAAATTTGGTGACTTTTCAAAGAAATGTATGTAGATATATACAGGATGAGATGAAAAAACTGCAACCAACTTCAGACTGCTGTCATTTTGAAGCCGACAGCTGTTAAAATTATTACAGTGACAGCTCATAATATTACTTACAAGCGCACAAAAGCATTTTGGTGAGAATTTTCCAGAAAAAATGTTATTCGTGATGGAATTCAAGCGTGATAGTGTGATTTCTTTATATTTGGCTGGAAAACCCCAAAGGGGCTATCTTTAGAGCACTCCAGGATTTAAATGTGAATAAATGTTTTGTGTCTTGTGCCGTGATACTGGTAGCGTAGCCCATCATCAAGGAAGTGGACGGAACAAAACAGCAACATCAGCAGAAACGGTTCGAAAAGTAAAGAAGCGACTTGATCAAAACCCGCTTCGCAGCGGGCGAAAAATGGCTCGTGAGCTTAACATATCGCAATATTCCATTCGGCAAATATTGAAAAATGCGTTGGGGGTAAAGCCATTGAAATTCCAAAAAGTTCAAGAACTTACACTGCAACAGAGAGAAAATAGACTTAAAAGTGGTGAACTACCGAATTAGGTTTTCTCCGATGAGAAAACATTCGTTGTCCAGCAGTTTGTAAACAAACAAAATGATCGTGTTTACTTGCCGAAGAGGTCAGCTGAAAAAGTGCACTTCTGTTGGCCACCAGAATTCAAGCGCCGGCCATGGTGATGGTGTGGGCAGCCATAACAGCCGATGGTCCCTCTTCGCTCGTATTAATCGACCGTGGCATCAGAATAAATGCCATATATTATCGCAAAGATATTCTGGAGGTTGTATTAAAGCCTTGGACACGCAAACAATTTGGTCGCAGACCTTGGACATTCCAACAGAACTCAGCGCACGTTGGCTACCAAAATCTGCAGATAACAATCCGTTGG